CTGGTGCCGCTGGCGCTGCCCCGCGGGCGGGGGCGGCACTGCGAGCTGTGCGGGGCCGCGGCCCAGCTGCGCTGCGAAGCCTGCGGCGTCACCTACTACTGGTGAGCGCCGACCCCGACCCGCTGCGTCCGACGCTGGGGAGGTCACGTCTGGGGTCCCACAGACGGGATGTGCGCACGCGCGGGGGGGGGGTCCGACGGGGGCAGGGAAGGCGGCTGTGGGCTGCGGGACCGGACTGAGAGGAGAGGCTGAGGGATGGGGCTGATTTAGCCTGCAGAAGGGAAGACCGAGGGGGATTGAATAGCAGCCTTCAGCTCCCTGCAGGGGGGCTGCAAAGAGGAGGTCACATCTAGTGCAGCCCCCTGCTCCAAGCAGCGCCAGCCCCGACTCCATCATCCCAGGCAAGGGTTTGTCTGCCCGGGTCTTACAAGCCTGCACCTCCTCTCTGGGGAACCTGTCCCTGTGGTTCACGGCCCTCCTCGTGAGAAAGTTCTTCCCAGCATCTAACCCAAACTCCCCTTGCTGCAGCTGGAGCCCGTTGCTTCTTGTCCTGTCACCTGCCCCCCTGAGAACAGCCCGGCTCCGTCCTAACACCTTTCGTCAGTGTCCTGAGGGAAGAGTCCTGCCTTTCTATTTTAAAATATTGCAGTATTGCAACCTGCTATTATTACAGACTGATGTTACAAGTAAGCACTCCCTTCTGTGAAAAATCCAAGAGAAACTAAAGAAGGGATAACAGACTGTATAGTAGAAATTCAGTAACAGAATATATAGTTAAAACATGTTTTCCCCGTCGTACTACCAGTGATGCAGATCATCAAAAAGCTGACTGGGATAGCATCCATGAGAAAATATGCCAGTTGCTGACTCCAGTTCGTACGTCATTACCATTTTTCAGTTCTGAAAAAGAAAGGAAGCATGGCATGGAACAGCTGCTGCACAGGCAGGTATGCACAACACAAAGAACATCACCTAGGAATTATCAATAAAAATTATTAGAACGTTCCCCTTACATTTCGATGCGTTTAGGGCGTGGAAAAAGAGCCAGTTGATCAATAAGACTTTTTTAATTTAATGTTTGCTGTTCTGTGATTGAAGCATCCAAGTGCCTTACCAAAATGTAACAACCGTATTACAACATGGATAAGTAAAACCACATATTTGGTTACTAGAATGATAAGTCAAATAAAACAAAAGAGCCCTCGGTCTGCCCACTGCTTCAAACCATAACATCAAACAGCAATAGATAACATGCTTCAAATATGAAATAAAAAGAACAAGAATGCTACCATGACGAATATCAGTGATGTGCTGGATACTGTAGCTATTTTTATGTATGCTTATGTGGGAGTCACTAGTATCTAGGTGGCTGCCCTATTAAATAATCCTTGCTAATATCCGGAGGAGAGAGTTCTCAGTGGTGTGCAATGTCCGATGGGGAAAAAAAAAAAAAGAGTACTGCTCTTTCAGGTTATGACCAAAATTTTGAAAATGCATGAGAAAGTTAGTTGTGTAACTCTTAATGGAAATTGAACACCTAACTGACTTAGTCTGCTATGAACATCTTCACCTGAATCTAGTCTGGATGGTCACTGTTTTGCTCTTTGTTTCGTTTTCAAAGGTCACTGCAAGTAAAGGGGACTGTAGTAGTAGCATTCCAAATGTCACGGGGTCAGGGATCACTGTAACAAAGGCTGTGTGTGTATTACATAAGTGGGACCGACTCAAATGCTGAATATTTGGAGATTGAAATGGCAGCCTTTTCACATGCGTTAAATTGTGTGCACTTCAGTCCTTATTACTGAGGAAGTCCTTCTACCCCTACCTTAATAAGCTGTAAGCATCAGTCCCTCCATTTAGGGATGAGATAATGGAGGATCTGACAGCGAGTAATAGAAACCTGTCTCAAATGTGAAGGGCCCAAATTTCATCCATTAGGTACTGATAATACTAAAACTAAAAACACTGTTGAAAGTCTATGTAGCAACGTATTGTAAGAGAGAAAGTGATGTGTTTCCATGTGAGGAGAATATTTTCATTCATCCTGTGCTCACTTGCATCTATTACTTATTTTTCCCCATAGAAGTACATAGCTGACCTTACTTATGAAGTGGCCCAGAAGTTTCTATATGAAGGAAAACACGAAGAAGCAATTCCTGCAGCTTTACATTCACTGCGTTTCAGCATTAGGATTTATGGCTCAAATTCTGTGAAATTAGTGCCTGCTTATCTCATCTTAGCTGAAGCTAGCACTGGTAAGTTTTCTGCTGAAGGAAAAAGTATTGATGATAAATACAGAACAGTAACTTTAGAAACAGAAAGTAAGTGAAAAACTGAAACAGAGTCTTTGAAGGACTTCCAGTGAGCTCAGTGTACACACACATATTCAGTAGAAGTTTTCCTATACACATATATTTACAAAGCCAAAGAAAGCGTGTGAGGTTGTCAGTTTTACTGACAATTAATTTTATTTTTTTCTCCCATGACATTCATCAAGAACTTCTTAGACCTACAGTTCAACGCCATCCTGAACCCTCTTCATCTTTAAGGACATTCCCATGAAATACTGAGGAATGAAGTCACAAGCTTATTTTGTGTAGGGACATGGGGAAAGAATTCAGAATTGGTTCAAAAGAAATAAAACTTTTCCATTATTTTCCGATTCCCAGAAAGGAAGTAGGATCAAGAACTATTCTCTACTTTTTTGGCTTCAATCAGTTCTGAAGCATAAAGCTCTATAGTATTGGTAAAGCGCTCTCAGCATTGCAGTTGCCCTGAAATAAGACTGGTTTGGTGTCTTGACCTTTGGGGCACAACTTCCACTTTTCCACACAGGAAAAACTCCAGTTCATTGTCATCAACAGGATTCTTTTTTTATGGCCTGACATCAGCACTGAAGATAAGTATCACCCCTGGGCCCATGCGTCTGATTTTTTCTGATTGGGAAAGCATTCAGGAGTATTTTGCACGCCTCATCCGGGGATAGCCTAAGAAATAATTTGTGCTGCAGTCTACACATCCAGACTTTGAAGCTCACTGTTAAAAGGGGTTCTGGAAGTTTCTCTCTCTAGTCACAGAAGGCACAGATCAGTGTCATAGGTGATGGCTTCATTTGCTTGCATGTTCTAAAGCTTGTGCAAATGCAACACTGCCTACTTTCACTTCTGCCCCCCGAGCCAAAAAAAAAAAAAAATCATGGCAAGGGTCAGATCCAAGATCTGTGTTTACTTGGAGAAACAAAGAACAAAGGAGCCCTACCATTAATTCCGTCTTGATATAAAAATACAAGCCTCTAGTCATTCTCCATAACTTGAAGACATTTTGGATCTGATATTTGGAGATATTGAATGCATACGTAGCACTCATTGCCTTCACTTGGATTTGTAGATATGCAACACATCTGAAAATTGAGCACTTAGTCCAAGGGGTATCTAATCAGAGTGTAGGTAGGGAAGTAGGGCCCATGTGAAAATGTGATATTACTGCAAGCTGCAGTTCCTAGTCTAAGTATTGGAATGGAATAGAAGAGGAATATTCTGTAGCTTCTGCGAACATTTGTCTTACTCTTCTCCTCTACATGTACTTTCAGGTCTTGGTCATCTTATGCAAGCAGATGAATACCTCTCTCAGGCTCAGTGGATTGTTCTCAAGACTCCCGACTGCACTAATGCCATTCAGTCTAAACTGCATCGTAACCTGGGTCTTGTCTATGCTGCTAAAGGAGACTTTGAGCAATCTTTATATCACCTAGCTAATGATGTAAGACAACTACAATACAGAACTGCTAAAGATTTCTCTCTAGTAATTTTACGTAGTCACTGTACAAAAAAGTATTAGGAAATCCCATCAGAAAGCTAGATTGCACCTTGTTGTTTCGGGGGTGTTGGTTGTAGCTGTGTTGGTCTAAGGACATAAGCAGACAAGGGTCTTTGGCTAAATGTGATGTCTTTTATTAGACCAACTAAATAGTTGGAAAACTTGTTCTTTGCAAGCTTTTGGGCACCAACACCCTTCTTCAGGCAGAGGGAGAGCCTGCAGTTGTATTGTGCTCTCCTGGATAGGATACGGCTTCTATCCAAGAGAGCACAATACAACTGTAGGCTCTCCCTCTGCCTGAAGAAGGGTGTTTGTGCCCGAAAGCTCGCAAAGAACAAGTTTTCCAACTATTTAGCTGATCTAATAAAAGATACCACTTCTACCCAAAGAACCTTGTTTGCAGATTGCACCATAGATTTTAGGCACAATGGTGATAAGTGCCTTAGAAAAACCTAGGCTGTTTAGGTATGCATGTTAGACAATGCATGCCAGTAGTGTTATAATAATATACATTTCCCTGTATTTTGCATTTCTTCCACATACTCTTTTTGTTTTAAGAGTTTATTAACATTCATCACTTTTTTGTGTTCTCCATTTTATACCATGTTCTACTATTTCTTTATCAGGAGTATGTTAGAAAATAATTAGACTTCAATGTATCATACTTAACTAGTTCCATAATGTTTTCGCTTAATTTTTTTTTGCTATGATAATTTATGAGAATAGTCTTGCAACATTTTACTACTTGTAGTCAGATTACATCTCTTCAAGAGTGATTGTTACTGCTATTTAATCTCTCTAAAAGTGAATAGATATGCTATCAGTGCTAGGAGAAATAAAAAAGAAAGCTTAATTACCTAATAATGGCCTTCAGTACTAGGTCAATACAGATGCATACTCCTCCCTCCCTTCCTTCATTCTTCAGAGTAGAGGGGGATCTGTATGAAATCAATCTGGAGTATATAGGATCAGATCCAGTTCCCTGCTAAAAACTTTAATGAGAGTTGGATCAAGAGTGTACTCTCTTGTCCAAGCTTCCAGTGTTGCAAGGGAGAATGGATATGTACCTAATGCTACGAAAAGCAGAGGTCAGTGCGACCCAGCTGCTCCCCGGAATGTGTGAATCTCCTTGAAGGACATCAGTTACTAGGTAACTAAGCACTCTCTCTTTCATCAACCATTTTTTTATTATTTATTTTTGCCAGGGTATTGACTGAGATTCTCCTGCACAGTTCTCTGGTATGCACGCTGTTTTATACAGGTATACCAGACTACTGCCATTTTAATTTAGTAACATTTTATACCCACTTTACATTTCCAACATGGCCAGGAATCAGAATTATTCAGTTATAAGCTTCAGCCATATATTTTTTAGTCTGCAGCTATATTAGGGAAGATTGCAACCACTTTCTTTTGGCTGCCCTAGTGTTGGGGGCCTGTCTGGGAGTCAGTAAAGGCTTTCTGTTTTCAGCCTAGAGGCAGCTCTAACTTTTACTAGGTAGGAAGCGTCCCTTCAGAACTCTTCGCTAGTTTAGTGTAGCTGGAATGCAGCATTTTGTGGCCGTGGTCTCTCCCCTCTGATGAGAGATTTCAGCACAGGAGAGTAGTCTTGCTTAAGAGTCTTCTTTTCCAGACATGTTCCTACCTGGGAACATGGCAGAAGTTTTTTCCCTCTTGAATAATTAGATTCTCTTTAATGGCATTCTCCTCTGGAGTGAAATGCATCATGTCCCCAATGACTGGGGTGGAGGGGGGAGGGGTGTAAGAATTAACATATTTTTTTAAATAAGATTTCTTTTAATATGAATACTAAGCATATATGATTATGTTTCCTTTGCATTTCAGATTTATTTTGCCAGTTGTGCCTTTGGAACTCATGATACCAATACCTCTGGAGGGTATTTCCACATGGCTAATGTTTTCTTTCGCCAGAACAAAATGGACATTGCAGACTCACTGTACTCTGAGGTTAGATACTTACGAACTCTTTTCAGGTGTTTGCATGTTTCTGACCTCCTGTTAATGTTATGACAGCTCTGAGAAGAGTCAGCATTTTTTAAAACATGGCATTAAGGCTATTTGGTCCCCATTTATTTTGGTAGGCCAGCTAAAACCCTGCAGCAGAGATCAGATGCATGTGTAGCAAAACTGAACTGTGATTACATCCCGAGGCCCTGGACTATTGAGCTGCACATCACAAAGAGAGTTAGCATCCTGAGAGCTAGTAGAAATGGAATAGTTATGACCCTCCAAGCACAGGCTTCATTTAAAACTAGGTTGTGCAGAAGACAAGAACACACTTTTTTTGGTATCTTTAAACTATCATATGATATTCTTTTAATATTAATTCTCTTTCCTTTTTAATAGGCAACTGATATCTGGCATGCCCATTTCAGTAGGTTGATTCAAATCCAGTCGCAAACTCTCAAGTCTGCAACAGAAATTGATATATTAGCTGGAGATGCGGAAGCCAGTGAAGAACCTCTAAGTAAAATACAGTTTCCAGTCTTATTCTTACTCAGCCAGAGGGAGTCATTTGATTCTATTGTATCTTATCCACTATTTATTTTTAGGCAATTCTTAAGGACGTGACATTTGTTTAGGCCAAATTCAGTCAAGTTTCTTTAAGCTATAACCACAGAGATTTGAGGTGTTAATATTACTGTCTTAAAAAAATATTTTCCACTGAAAGTATTTCATTATTTACATTTTTCTTATTTCATTTTTCATGGATTTAAACTGAAATAAAAAAACGGAATTGCATGTTACCGAGGTATGGCCTTTTATCTCCTTAAACAGATGAACCCTAGTATATTCTGTGTTCATCTGTAGAGTAATCCTAGAATGGTCATAGAAATCCCCCCACTAGATACATGAGGCTGTACAAAATACTAGCAAGTCTACCATTTGTCATAGCCCTGCACTGATGAGATGGATTAGACCAGGGATTTCCAACCTATTTGAACGTGGGTCCAGATCACAAGCTTTTTATCACCCAGTGGGCTAGCCAAAGGACCCCCCCCCCCCCCATTAGGAAGCTGCTGGAGGGCTGGGGGGGGCATAAGGGGGGGGAACGAAAGTAAACAGTGTTTACTTTCATTTCCCGTTGCAGCACCTCGGGCCTCAGAAAACAGCTTGGCGGGCCGCACGGCAGCCCGCAGGCCGTATGTTGGACAAGCCTGGATTAGAGAAATATGTCTTTTCTTTTCTGTCTTGAACATCTATAGCTCTCTAATATTTGGAGAGGACAGGCTGATGTTCACTGTATTTTTATATAGAATTGTTCCATTTGTTACAGATTACTGCAAAAATATGACGCTGAAAGTGACCATTAGATACAGTTATGAATGAATGGAGAATTTGTAGGGAGCTCAGATTCTGCAAGTGTGGGATAGTTGCCTAGATGCATGGAACAGAGACAGCTAGATCATTTTATTTATGCCTTCTTTTGTGACCGTGTCCAGCATAAAATATTTGCATTCTCAAAGCAGGTGAGGCCCAGCAAGCTGAAGCCCGTCAAATACTGAATGCAATATTAGATATCAGAGAACAGGCCCCAAAACAGAAGCCTGATAAGATGGCCATCATTTTGCATGCTCTTGCAATGCTTCATTACTTCACCATGGACTTACCAAAGGCAAGTTAAACCTTTTTTATTCAGACAAACCACTTAAGAATTCTTTCTTGAGCTAATGCATAACTTTTATATATTCTGTTAAGTAGAACCGTATTAGAAAGTTCTCTCAGTACCTACAAAGTTATTTTTAAAAATAATTAGCACATGCAGAAGTGTTCTGGTTGCAAATCAAGTCACTAAGAAGTTACAATATTACAGGTTCAAGTTGCCTGTGCTGTCTTAACTTAACTCTGCTCACCTGCACGTGCCTTACTCTACAGTCTAATTGCCCGATTACTGGCCACTCTTCTTCATTCATTGTGCAGATTGAATTAAGTAGTTAGGAAGAGAAGGGTCCAAAATATGCCTTTTCTATGATGTAAACAAGGATTCAGTCTACTGAAATCATTGGTTGACATTTTGAACACTTTGCTATGTTTACAGAGGTCCAAGTCAAACACGAGGTAGGGCAGGGTGGCACCTCCGAGACTAACTAGTTCAGAGAGGCATGAGCTTTCACAGACAACAGCCTCCTTCATCACCATCTGATGAAGCCTCTGACACAGTAAGCTGCTGTCCACAAAAGCTCACGTGCCTCTGAGGCCAAGAGCTCAGCAGAGTTCAGGAGACTGGACATAGATGAAGATAACGAGAGCACCCACAATTGCATCAGAAGGGACTGATAATTCTAGTACGCAAGAGTCATCCAGGATCGAGTCTGTGCGAGTCCAGACTGGTTCAGCTGTGCTGCAGTCAGTGTCGTGCTGTCTGGTTACATCAGCAGAGTTTTGTCCTGTGTTTTTTAGGAGGGATATAAACTTGTTTCAGGGCATAAACAAAACATTGACTGCTAAGATTAAGAAGAAGCTTTCCATATGGGGCAGATTCCTGTACAGTTGCTCACTTCAAGGTTTCTTGTGCTTTCCCCTGAAGCAGGAGGTGTGGCCCACTTGGGCCGCAGGTCTGATGTAGTCTGGCCATTCGTTTAGGACCCTAAACGTATATTTTTACTCCCTGTTGAGAAAAGGCTATAACAACTTCATGGCATTTATATCTTTTTTATTGTCATTTCAGGCTTATGAACTTGGGGTGAAAGCCTCTCTAATGACCCAACAACTGCAAAAACAAGACTTATTGGAAGATATTCATTGTTTATTAAAGTTGATTAAATCCAAAAACTTTTCAATGTAAAACAAAGTGCAGTTTGTTCATCTAGATCCTACAGGTCTTCAGCTAGGTTATCTGTTCCAGTAAGTTTCTGTAACCATGATGACAGTGCGTTATTAGCTCATTGCTACTTTCCTGTTATTGTTTGGCATCTCTTTCTGGAAATGTTCCCTTTCATCTCAGTTTTTTGGGTGTTTTTTGTTTTGTTTTTTTTAATTAAAATTCTACTTCATGCCAGTTGCATTCTGTTCCTATATAATGGTCAATTTGATTTTATCTGGATGGTTGTAACAGATACAATAATGCAGCAGGGTAGGAAACAAGAATACAATCAAAGCAAGATTAACGACTGCAGAAAATATGCCTACCTCATGCTCCAAGTACACAAAACAGACCATCATGCAGTCCCACATTATCCCTCTGAAGAGTTCTTACCCCACTGTGCATTTCAGTAGAGATAGAAGTTCTGCTCCCAATTCCCCCCTCCCCTCAAAGTGTCCTAACTTACTTCTTTCTAATGTACTCAGTGAGATAACGTGGAGGGTGGGTCTAACAGGTCTTTGGGTCTGGACAGAGGATAGGATTTCACTGCACAGTTAAGCTAAGGGAGCAGTATCCACAGCTGTGTACATCCAATGCAAAGCAAGCCCGACCTCTAATTTGCACTACAGTTTTGCACTTGGCTCGGGGGCATCTATCCTGTGTTTTTGTGCCGAGGTGTTCCAGGATACTTCCCCAGTTGTATCCGTTGTACGACAGTTCCCAGCAGCCGTGGGAAGTCCCCAGACTCAGCACTCAGATGATTCAGCCTGCATCCTCACTGCAGGGGACGTAGGTTTCCATCTGAACTAAAGCGAAGCTTGGGCTGTAACCCACACTCCCAACCGCAGAAGCTATCCTGGACTTGAAGTACCTCTCAGTTCCCATTTCTTCCTAGTGATGCTTCGGTGAAGCTCCCTGCTGAAAGCTTTTGGCAAAGCAGCTCAGGAAGAGTCAAGAAATGCTTTAGGCTTTTGCAAGAATGAGCACATTGGCATTTGCCAGAGAGAGATGAAACTTGCAGTTCTCATGCTTGACGGCATAGAAATATCACTGATCCAGGACAGGGATCAGTGTCTCCCTGTACTCCCTCGTACGTGCCACGCAAGAGCAGCACACCGTAAAGCAGATGCATCATGAGGATGTGTCATATACACTCTTTATTATCCAGTACAGGCCCTCTTAGAAACCCGGCTACTGGATTTGCCCCGTGCAGTGGGACACAGGGGTAGCAACTAGATAAAACCCTGGATTCTTACCAGCAGGGAGGGCCTTTTTATGTCTCATTTAAGAATGGCATGTTCACGGGTTTATCAGCAAGTTCAAGTTCAGCCTTTCAGCAGCCACTAGGGGACAGCACGTTTTAACCTTTGAGCAGGTGTTGCTGTTAAAAGGTGTCTCAGGCATGTTGGATGTTTTTCTTAGACAAAGTTTTTCCAAGATAGTGATTTGTTGATCAGAACAAGGAATTGCTAATCAGAGCATTTGCCGAGGCTCATGTTAGAGCATCATTAGGAAACTCCTTGGCAGATGTCCTTATTTGGAAATTACACAGACTTCTCTGGGGCAGGGCGCACACATCCTGGCATGGGCACAGAGCTTGAAAATCCACTTGGCCGAGCTGAGCCGGAGCCTTTGCCACGCAAGGGCACAACGCGGCTGGGTTGTGCTTGCCAAGGTTCTGCTTTTGCAGGTTACAGAGAAAGCTTCTGCCTACAAATAGGATGTGCCCAGTGCCCTTCCACCAGTCTGAGTCCACACAGGGACCTCAGCTGCCACCTAGGTGTTTCTATGGGCCGCTATCCATCCCCTACCAGACTTCCCAAAAGGTACCGGGTATCTCTTCAGCTGCTCTGTACTTTGCTGAATTAAAGCAGAAGGAAAGCTTGCTCTGTGTCCATTTCACTGGACTTCTGGAGCAGAGAGCTCAGGCCCGGAGCTGGAGGAGGGCTGGAACTTGAGGGTTTTCGCAGCTATGTGATGGAGGGAGGATTGGAATAGCAGATGGGTGACAGCAAGATGAGACAACTGTTGAAGCCTTTTCCAGACAGGCATGGCAGTGGGCCATCCTTGCATGAGAAGTTCTGTTCCTGGCTCTGGCACTGACCTGCTAGATGACCATAGGCAAGTCACTTCATCTCATTGTGTCTCAGTTTCCCTGTCTGTAAGAGGGGATGATGGTGCTGACCTCCCTTCCAAGGCCATTTGAAGGCTGCTGATGAGAATATAGGAGTGGTACGTGGCGAGGGGAGACATGATCTACCAGCCACTTGAACTCCAGTCAGGACCCCCAGTTAGAGGCTGACCTACCACGAGGCCCGAGGTGGGATTTTTTTCTCCCCCCGCCCCCCATGTACAGCTAGGGTACTTACTACCAGGGGAAACTCCCCCCAGCACAAGACAAGACTTACCTAGCGGTCATGGCACACCTATCTGAGGTCTGTATAAGAATCACTTGTGTATAGAGAACAACCCGAGGAACAATGGCAGCTTTCTGCTGCTCTGCTCCCGAGCAGGCAGGAGCTGCCCTCTCCTGCAGCCCTACTGCAAGGAACGCATGGCTTAGACAGGACCGGAGACTCGCCACTGCTATACGGAGTTGTTGGGTCTCAATTTAGAGACTCCTCAGCTGTTACGTATAAGCCTTGTTCTACTGAAGCCTGCTGTAATCCTGGGCAAACCAGTATTTTGTACTTAGAGGGAAAGAGAGTCTCTGTATTTAACCACTCCTCTTACCAGTCTCTCCCGGGGCCCTCGCGACCCCCGTGCAGTGATGTGGACCAGGCCCTGGGTGCACTAGCTAGAGCACCCCCGCTGCACAGAGCTCCCAGCCTCAGGGAGTCACACCCGTCAGCCCTTCACGGCCGCCTGCCTCCCCTCGTCCACCACTGGCTTTGCAGGTGGGTAACGCACTTACGAGAAGCACAACCCACCCCCCAAGCCCTGCCAACACCTACCCCTGCACTGGCTGGCCCCTAGCAGCCTCAGGAGCTCTTCCCACCACAAGCACCAGGGCCAAACTGGCTGCTTTGGCTCAGCAGCCAAGGTTTATAGCCCCTGAGCTCCACCCCTTCCAGTCACGTGCCCTCTGGTCCCCACACTCCCTTCCCCTTTCTTACCCAGTCGGCTCTAATGGGCTGCAGCCATCGCCCTCTGACCTGCCTGTGGCCCTGCCGCTTGCTCCCACGTAGTTGTTCACAGCCCCTGTCGTTAGCTTCCCCCGGCTGCCCCTGCGGCTGCCCCTACCTTGGCTGCCGGCACCAGGCTGCAGCCCTCTAGTGCTGCCTTCCTGCTCCCCAGCAGTGGGGCTTAGGGGACCCTGCTACGTTTTGACGTGGCTCCTTCCACGCGGAGACCAATGTGACTTGCACACGTAGACTGTAGGTCTTAAACTCCCGGCACCTGAAACTTCCCCATAAGTCAGCCCACTTACACATGGGCCAGGTGGAGGGGAGCATCAGAGGTGGCCAGATGTGAAGCTGGCCACTTTGTCCCCTGTTATGCGGCCAGTTACAGAACTGGTGTCCCTTAACCACTCTAGTCCAAAGGGCAGAGCTTAGGCACAGCTTTGCCTGCCTGGTTTCTGCTGTGCAGAGTCCTTGGTCCCTTCCCAGTTCCCCCCCTGCGCTGGGTGCATGCACCTTCTGCTGAGCTGAAAGCGAAAGTGCCTGTGTGAAAGGCAGGGCCGAGACATGAGTGGCTGCCCGACGCAGGTCTCCCCAGGACCTTGGGCAAGCCTGGGTTTGCCTTTCCCCTGAGAGACTAAGGAGGAGAGATCACAGGTCACACTGGGGTCCGGTCAAGGGGAGATCGCTCTGGAGTCCAGGCCTGAGGTTGAGCCCAGGTCTCCTGTGACTAATGTGGTGCATGTTGCTGTCATCTTTGCCCCTGTCCAGACACCTTCCTGTGACAGGCACTCACCCGCCTGCTGCAGGAGAGGGCTGGGAGGGTTGCACAGCACGGCGGGTTGTACAACACGGTGGAGCTCTATTCCCCCTTGTCAGGGAAGCTTCGTGTTTGCTCTTTCTCTCACTTCCTCCCCAGCTGTCCAGGAGGTCAGCACAAAAGGCATCTGACCGCTCGGCAGAGAACATAACAACCAGCTCAGCATCTCCTGCTGTGGTCTGCAGCAGGTGAAATATTAAGACGCTGGGAGGGGAACGTAGCCCTGGCCCGTGGCTTGTATTAAGCCATAAAGGAGCTTGTGGTCTGTGCAGCATGGGTTGGAGAGCCAGGAGGGGACAGTCAGCTCTTGCCAGAAAAGCTGCAGAAGAGCGGGGACAACATCTTGTGCCATTCACTGCAGGAGTCTGTTCGGCCAGAGGTTGGCCCCCCACAGCCCACAGGCTCCAGCCCAGGAAGAATTGGAGCCGGCTGTGGCAGCTCAGGGACCCAGCACCATACTCCAGGCACAGCCATGAAGGAGGCCTCGCCAGGGCCCGGGCTCCAGGTACCTCTGCAGCAAGTGCTGGCCCCGGGGGAGGAGGTGGAGATCCATGCAGCAGGGGCTGGAGACTGAGCAGCGGCCCACGGCAGCAGACTGCCCACCATGGTTCCCTGAACACCCTGGCGTGGGAGGTCAGCCTCATCTTCTGCTGCAGGGGCAGGCAACCATGTCTGGCTGCAGGCTGGGACCACCCAGCCCGGGTCAGAAGCAGGACCTGGCCACCACTCATCTCCCCACAGCCAAAGGCCCCTGCCACCAAATGCCGCAGCCCCGTGGCAGCAGGCCGGATCCAGTGGTCCATCCCCTCTTCTACTATCCTGCCCCAAATGCAACATGCCCTACTGAACACATTTGCTCTCAAACCCAGACCTCCAGCACAGTCCCAGCCCCCAGGCCAAGCAGGGTGCAGGGGACAGGGTGCGCCCAGCTGGGCGGGAGCTCGGAGGCTTCTCGCCCGACACCAGCTCAGAGAAGGCAGCCGGGTCCAGCACTGGGGGGAAGGTATCTGGACCACCAGAAGAGCCCAAAACATCAGGTCCTGCTAGCGCACGGCTAGAACTTGTCCAGTGCTGAAATAAATCCACACTCAAGCACGCTGGGTCTCTGCATACATTCTTTATTATTTCCACACCACACGCGGTTCCCCTCTTGCTCTTGGCACTTATCTTTCTTTTTGTCGTTTTTTTTTTATAAAAAGAGTTAGGCTATCGGTCTCTGTGCTGCACTCAAAGAGGCCCTTTGTTTTTTTTCT